TCAAGTACTACTTCTAATGCAGATTTAATGCAAAATATTTTGTCCTTCAAAGCTGAAGTCTTCGCCTCGAATAAAGCACTTTCTTACTCGCAATCTTAGCAGTTCAATACACTTAAAGCAGAAATATTAAAAGTTTCTGAGCAAGTGAGTGAACTCAAAGCAGACAATATAATACTCAAAAGAGATATTGATTTACTTAAGCCGAAAATTAGTAGTCTTGAAGAGAACAACTCGTCTACGAACTCATCCACAATCACTAGCCAGTTTTCGCAAAACTACGTCTAGGTATTAGCCCCCCACTTAAGCTAATATGTACTAACAAAGAGGAACCGCAATCTTTGCTGTATCATATAACCAGGTTAAGGGGTCAGGTACTCAATTCCAAAATGGTTTTAATCTTGTCAAGGTTAAAACCAAATTTGAACGACAACTATTACGTGCTTGTCACAATGATGTGTTGTCTCGTACAGCTCAAGGTGAAACAAATCTACGTATATATTATGAAAATGGTGTTCCATCTGTGGTCAAATAAATTCCAAAAAACCGGTTCTGTGGAAACATATCAATCGACAACCAAAGATTCAGCAAATTTTTCAACTTTCATAGTTCAGCCTTGTACACTAGGTTTGCACGAGCATGTATATTTTTATGATAAATACCAAGTCCACTCTTTGTACTTTTATATTAGATTTCTACAATTTTAAAATTAATAAGTCTTGTCCTCGTGATTTATCTACAATTAGCTATACTACGTCAAATGATAATATGTCTAGTAATGTAAATTATAATTTAACTCATAATGTTCCGTTTGGTAAAAAACCAAAACTGTCGTGGTCTTAGGACTAAATTTTTTACTTTTAAGTGTAATCTCGCCAGCTTTTACAATGTAATTCTTGTTTTAATAGAAACCTAGCTTAATTCTGATATACAGTGGATGCCGCTTATTAGAAACACGTATAATTGATACAATCGCGTTATTGAAAGAAAATGTCTCGGGACGGAACGGCCGTATATTAGAACATTTAAAATAAATCGGATTATTGAAACATCATATCGGTTATTTGAAACAATTAGTTTGACATATATACCGGTTATCAGGCGATAACCAATGCACTACGAGGCATCCCCATCAAACATAGAAATTGTAGAAGCTCTTAGTGTCCTCAGGAGAGTAGTCCAGGATCGTGAGGATAAAAAAGGCTTTTAACAGCACTACTCCTATGAAAATATGGTTATGGAGTTACTCAATAAAAAAAAACAAACTTTGATAGACATGTAAGTAGGGTAAACTAGAGAGTTCTAGAACACCCCCCCCCCGCCACACCCCTTCACCTACCCATCCACTGGGTGGGTGGGCGTGGTCGGGGGGAGGTGCGTGTAAAACAATGGGCGTGGTCTCTCAATGGTGGGGGTAATGTCAAGGTCACCCAGTGGGCGTGGTTTCTCGATGGTGGGGGTAAGTAGATGGCGTGGTCATATCATTGATTGGGTAAGGAGAGGCGTGGTCTCTCGATGGTGGGGGTAATGGAGGATCGCATTCATGAGGGTGGGGGTAAGGAGAAGGCGTGGTCTTATCATTGATTGGGTAAGGAGAGGCGTGGTCTCTCGATGGTGGGGGTAATGGAGGATCGCATTCATGAGGGTGGGGGTAAGGAGAAGGCGTGGTCTTATCATTGATTGGGTAAGGGTAGGCGTGGTCTTATAAATGGTGGAGGGAAGTGGAGGAGTGGTCTCACGATGGTGTGGGGTAATGACCGTGGTCAAGGTCAAACAATAAACGTGGTTTCTCGGTGGTGGGGGTAAGGGGAAGCGTGGTCTTATGAGGGTGGGCTCATGGGTGGCGTGGTCTTATCATTGATTGGGTAAGGGGAGGTGTGTTCTTATTAATGGTGGTGGGAAGGGGTGGAGTGGTCT